GGTCCATCACTATCAGAGCCAGTATCGAAGAGATTTTGGAGCCCATAGGGGTTCCTTCAATTTGACGGTAGATTGTTCCATTAAAAGTAAAGACTAAAGCTTCAAAGATTAATTTCAAACTCAACAAAAACGTGTTCTTATCCCAACCACACTGGTCCGCTACTAAATCCCATTTTTCCTCTATAATTTTATTGACCAAGTCCAAAGGAATCACCGTAAATAAGCTGATAACGTCAAGGGAAATCAGTATGTAATCCCGTGGCAGCTTGTAACCGTTATAATCGTTAACAAATTGAAAAGTGTTTTTGATATTATAATCAGTTCTGTCGTTAAAAGCTAAGCTTATATGTTTGCCATGTAAAAAGACAATTCATAGGAAGGGGTGCCCACAGAAGAAATAATAGGTCTTAAAGGGTTATCTTCCTTATGGATTTTTGGAAGAAAATACGCTTTGGCCAAGACTGAATTATATGTTTTTAATTTTTTAGCTTCGATGTCATTAATGAATTTTTGTGATTGTATACATTTAATAAAGGTGTTAATTTGTTTTTGAATGTTATTCAATGGGTCTTTTTCAATAACTTTGTATACTTCATTATCACTAAGCATTGCGATAGCTTTATTTATATAATCAGTTTTGTCCATTATCACTGTTGTTGCCCCTTTATCGGCCTTAGTAATGATAGTATTAGGATTATCTCTAATGTAATTTTTTGTGGATTTTAGCATTGAAAAAATTCTGTTGTGCAACCCATCATATGTTTCCCTGTCTGATTGGAAATTGGTTATAATGTTTGTTATTTTAGCTCTAGCTAAGTTTTTTTGTTCTACGTTAAATCTCTAATTAAGTTTTCCAAAAACATCAAAAACCTCTTCAAATCAAAATTATGTTTATTGACAGGAAGATGAAACTTAGGTCCAAGTGATAAAAGAGTCACAGCTTCCTCGGGAATTAAAGTGGTTGTTAAGTTCACCAACCATTTTTTGTTATCTTTATAGAACTGGATTTCCCCCNTTAGTTAGTATTTTGATTGTACTTTTACTTTTCCTTGTTGTTTGCAAAACCCAAACGTTATTTTCCACGTACTAACGTGGCTATTTTTATTTTCGAGGACATTTTTATGATCCGCCACCAAGTCAAGTAAAAGTGTTATTTCTTCAGGTTTAAAATTTGCCCCCCGAATACGCTTTTCAGCCTGATTTGCGGTTTTTATTTTTTCGTGATCGTTAATTGCCACTAACAGAACTGACAGGTTTATGAGAATTACCCACAAATTACCGACCATTACCGACGGACAAAGGAGATAGAAACCTGTAATACCTCTTTTACACGTAGTCACCAACAGTCATTATAATATTCTCCTAGATTTTTACGTTAACTACTAGATAGCCTATCCATTAGTTAGATCGAAATGGTAAAAGTCGTTTCGCAGTTAACTAATAGATAAACGTTATCCGATAGTTAGACTAACGACCAGTTTAACTAGAGGTGGTAAAAGCGGGCCTAAGTAAATTTTTTTACTGTACTTGACTTTAAACATAATTTTTAATTTGTTGTAGAACCGAATCATCCTGAAGAAGAAACAATAAAAGTTTCAAAATATTGATGTTTTAAAAATTTAGTCCTTTTTTTTGGTTGACCTTAAACCTGAAGTTAAAGAAAAAAATTTTCAAATCTATTAACTGAGGTCGCTCACATTTCGTTTTTACACTTTTTATTTTAATTTCGTTTTTGATAAATTTATACTATTGCTTTTGTATTATTTCTTAATTATTAGTAAAGATTAATTTTTCTATCATTAAAGTTATTTTGATGTCAAAACAAAGTTTCGTAGTTTTACTCAACAATAATTTGATGCGGGTGGATGTAAAATTGTTAAACTACGTGGCGCTCATTGAATATATTTTATTTATACGAACTTATTCCCCGCCGGCTAGAACTCAAGCGGCCATCAACTCCACCAATATTTTTTTCCAACAGACACTAAAGAATTTTTTTGTGTAATTATAGTTTGGTAAAAAAAGTCACGTAACAGAAGCATTTATATTCTGTTTCTTTCTACTGCGATCTTTTCTATTAGGTGCAAAATTTGTGCTTATTTTGGAGTTTGGATTTTTGCAGATCAGAAGTAACAGTTTAAGTATATTTTCTATAACTTGCACCTGAAGTTGCAACCTTCCATGACACAATTTTTGGCAAAGCGTGGATAATTCCAGTTCCTTCAAAACCAGATTTCGAAATTCAAAATATATGCAACGCCTCTCTAAAAATATATAATTATATATATCTTTTAAATTCATTTCGTCAAAAAAAAAGTAAATAATAAAACAATAAGAAATTTTTTTTCGCTCTATTTTTAACCTCAAGCCATAGAAAAAAATGTACGTCATTCGAGTTCCAACACTTACAAAACTAATACAAACAACTGTTGTTACGACAGACGCACATTTGCGGTTTCATTTCGTTCCCTATTTCATTCATCAATTGACCTTGTATCTCAACGCGCATGTTCATTCAAAAACGGAGTCTCCATTTCTTGCGAATCAATATTCTCAACAACACTTCAACGACTTCACCACTATAAAAAAAGGTTACAGGGAAATATTAAATTAAATTTAACGATAAACATGGTCAACATAGTTCGGTGTTAATACGAAAAGAAAAATAAACATGAGTATTTTAGAAAGTTTATTGATCGTTTCGGAAAAAGCGGCAAATATCGCGCGGACGTGTCGACAAAATCAGCATCTGTTTAAATTGTTGGTGCAGGAAAAAGGAACGGATGAAGCAAATCCGAGGTTTGTGGACGATTTTAAAACTTTAGCGGACGTTTTAATACAGGAAATGGTTAAACATGACGTAGGAAATAAAGTAAGATAAAAGTTTTTAGATTTAATCTAATTAAATAGAAATTTAATTAAAATTTAGTTTCCAGAAATAACAGATTCGATTTTCGGCGAGGAAAACAACGTTTTTGAAAACAAATTGGGCGAAAAAATTTGTGTTAAAGTATTAAAAACGGCCGAAGAAACCAAAAAGTTATTAATTAAAGTTTTAAATAACGATGAAGAAGCAGCTGATTTATTGGCAGAAATAATTCATGAAGAAATCGATTTAAAAATTGATTTACCAATAATTTCCGAAAACATTGAAGATTTCGCAATTTGGATAGATCCGATTGACTCAACGGCTGAATACATAAACGGAATCGAAAAACTATCTAACTCCAATATTTACACCACCGGATTAAAATGTGTCACCGTTTTAATCGGAATTTTTAATAAAAAAACCGGAAACCCAATCAGCGGGATTATTAACCAACCCTTTTTTGAAGAAAATCAACAATTAGGACGACGATTTTGGTCGTTTAATAATCAAAATTCTTTAAAAACATCCCAAAATCTAAGTACAAATCGAATTTGTTTGAGTTCCTCTGAAAATCCGGATATCAAAGAAAAATTAAGAACCGCTGGATTTGAATTGGTTGAAGCCGCCGGTGCAGGTTACAAATCTTTATTGGTTATATTAGGTGAAGTGGACGCTTATATTTTGAGTAAAAACTCAACTTTTAAATGGGATACTTGCGCCCCTCAAGCGATTTTAAGTTCGATGAATGGTGGTATTATAAATTATCAAGAAGCAATCAAAGGAAATGTAATTCCTATTTGTTACGATGTTTGTAATGGTGAAAATAAATTGCTGCAGTGTTGTAATGAAGGTGGAATTATTGCGTTTAACAATGAAACTGTTTTAAAGTGTATATTAGAAGCGTTAAGAAAGTGATTTTATTGTGTAAAGTTAATACGTTTATGTTAATAAATAAAATGTTTATAATTATCCATAAGTGAATATACTCCTATCCCAGCTCTTTTGTGGTGATCTTCCGGACAGTTTGAAGTGTGTGAGAGCCCAAGACTTTGATTTAAGCTAGTTAGAACAGAGTTTGTTTCACCTCCCAAAAATGTAGTTCAGTTGAGACAATTAAAAGCTTGATTGTTTAAAAAATTCATGATAAATGTATTTCTTGGATACTTAATCTGGAATTTCCAAATATAATAAACAAACATGTCTACTTTTTAGTGGAAGAAACCGTTTCTCAAAATTATGATTAGTTTTTGAGGAATAAATTTTCAAAGTTGCTCGATTTTTTATGGTTTTATCAGTTTTGGAGTTAACTTTAAAAATTCACGAAAAATGTATTTATTAAATAATTAATGTGGAATTTCTATGTATAATAAAGAAAAGTGTCTACTTTTTGGTAAAGAAAATGTTTTTAAAAATTCCGCTTAGTTTTTGAAAAATATATTTTCAAAGATGCTCATTTTTTTAAATTTTATTGATTTTGGAGTTAACTTTAGCAATTCATAAAAAATGTATTTCTTGGATAATTAATGTGTAATTTACATTTATAATAGAAAAAAGTGTCTACTTTTTAGTGAAAGAAACCGTTTCTCAAAATTATGTTTAGTTTTTAAAGAACATATTTTCAAAGACGTTCGATATTTTATAGTTTTATCAGTTTTGGAGTTAACTTTAAAAATTCATGAAAAACGTATTTCTTGGATAATTTATGTGGAATTTCCATATATAATAAGAAAAAGTGTATACTTTCTGGTGGAAGAAAACGTTTTTAAAAATTCCGATTAGTTTTTGAAAAATATATTTTCAAAGATGCTCATTTCTTTTAAATTTTATTGATTTTGGAGTTAACTTTAACAATTCATGAAAAATGCATTTCTTGGATAATTAATGTGGAATTTGGATTTATAATAGAAAGAAGTGTCTACTTTTTAGTGAAAGAAACCGTTTCTCAAAATTATGGTTAGTTTTTGAAGAATATATTTTCAAAGATATTCATTTAGTTTTATTAAGCTTTGTCTTAACTTTAAAAATTCATGAAATACATTTTTCTTGGATAATTAATGTGGAATTTCCATGTATAATAGAAAAAAGTCTACATTTTAGTGAAAGAAACTGCTTCTCAAAATTATGATTCATTTTTGAGAAATAAATGTTCAAAGTCACCCATTTTTTCATCAATTTCATTAGTTCTGGAATTTAATTCATAAAAATATTATTTCTTAGACAAATTATTTGTAATTTCCAACCATCATATTATAAAGTGTCTACTTTTTGATGGAAGAAACCGTTTCTCAATATTATGTTTAATTTTTGAGGAATAAATTTTCAAATTTGCTCATTTTTTTATAGTTTTATTAGTTTTGGACTTTAAAAATTCATGAAAAATGTATTTCTTTGATAATTTATGTGGAATTTCCATATATAATAAAGAAAAGTGTCTACTTTTTGGTGGAATAAACCGTTTTTAAAAATTCCGCTTAATTTTTGAAAAATAAAATGCTCATTCTTTTTTAATTTGATTGATTTTGGAGTTAACTTTAACAATTCATGAAGAATGTATTTCTTGGATTATTAATGTGTAATTTTCATTTAGGAAATTTATAATTATTAATAGAAAAAATTGTCTACTTTTTAGTGAAAGAAACCGTTTCTCAAAATTGTGTTTAGTTTTTGAAGAATATATTTTTAAAGATGCTCATTTAGTTTTATTAAGTTCTGTGTTAACTTTAAAAATTCATGAAACATGTATTTCTTGGATAATTTATGTGGAATTTCCATATATCATAAAGAAAAGTGTCTACTTTTTGGTGGAAGAAAACGTTTTTAAAAATTCCGATTAGTTTTTGAAAAATATATTTTCTAAGATGCTCATTTCTTTTAAATTTTATTGATTTTGGAGTTAATTTTAACAATTCATGTAAAATGTATTTCTTGGATAATTAATATGGAATTTGCAGTTATAATAAAAAGAAATGTCTACTTTTTAGTGAAAGAAACCGTTTCTCACAATTATGTTTAGTTTTTGAAGAATATATGTTTCAAAGATGTTCATTTGGTTTTATTAAGCTCTGTCTTAACTTTAAAAATTCATGAAAAATGTATATCTTGGATAATTAATGTGTAATTTCCATGTATAATAGAAAAAAGTCTTTTTAGTGAAAGAAACTGCTTCTCAAAATTATGATTCATTTTTGAGAAATAAATGTTCAAAATCACCCATTTTTTCATCAATTTCATTAGTTCTGGAATTTAATTCATAAAAATATTATTTCTTAGAAAAATTATTTGTAATTTCCAAACATCATACTGTAAAGTGTCTACTTTTTGATGGAAGAAACCGTTTTTCAATATTATGTTTAATTTTTGAGGAATAAATTTTCAAATTTGCTCAATTTTTTATACTTTATCAGTTTTGGAGTTAACTTTAAAAATTCACGAAAATGTATTTCTTTGATAATTTATGTGGAATTTCCATATATAATAAAGAAAAGTGTCTACTTTTTGGTGCAATAAACCGTTTTTAAAAATTCCGCTTAATTTTTGAAAAATATATTTTCAAAGTTGCTCATTATTTTTTAATTTGATTGATTTTGGAGTTAACTTTAACAATTCATGAAAAATGTATTTCTTGGATTATTAATGTGTAATTTCTATTTATAATAGAAAAAGTTGTCTACTTTTTAGTGAAAGAAACCGATTCTCAAAATTGCGTTTAGTTTTCGAAGAATATATTTTTAAAGAGCTCATTTACTTTTATTAAGTTTTGTGTTAACTTAAAAAATTCATGAAACATGTATTTCTTGGATAATTTATGTGGAATTTCCATATATAATAAAGAAAGGTGTCTACTTTTTGGTGGAAGAAAACGCTTTTAAAAATTCCGATTAGTTTTTGAAAAATATATTTTCAAAGATGCTCATTTCTTTTAAATTTTATTGATTTTGGAGTTAACTTTAACAATCCATGAAAAATATATTTCTAGGATAATTATTGTGGAATTTGCAGTTAGAATAGAAAAAAGTGTCTACTTTTTAGTGAAAGAAACCGTTTCTCAAAATTATGTTTAGTTTTTGGAGAATATATTTTTAAAGATGCTCATTTAGTTTTATTAAATTTTGTGTTAACTTTATAAATTCATGAAACATGTATTTCTTGGATAATTAATGTGGAATTTCCATATATAATAAAGAAAAGTGTCTACTTTTTGGTGGAATAAACCGTTTTTAAAACTTCCGCTTAATTTTTGAAAAATATATTTTCAAAGTTGCTCATTATTTTTTAATTTGATTGATTTTGGTGTTAACTTTAACAATTCATGAAAAATGTATTTCTGGGCTAATTGATGTGTAATTTCCATTTATAATAGATAAAAGTGTCTACCTTTTAGTGAAAGAAACCGTTTCTCAAAATTATGATGAGTTTTTGAAGAATATATTTTTAAAGATGCACATTTAGTTTTATTAAATTTTGTGTTAACTTTAAAAATTCATGAAACATTTATTTCTTGGATAATTAATGTGGAGTTTCCATATATCATACAGAAAAGTGTCTACTTTTTGGTGGAAGAAAACGTTTTTAAAAATTCCCCTTAGGTTTTGAAAAAGATATTTTCAAAGATGCTCATTTTTTCATAGTTTTATTGATTTTGGAGTTAACTTGAACAATTCATGAAAAATATATTTCTGGGATAATTGATGTGCAATTTCCATTTACAATAGATAAAAGTGTCTACTTTTTAGTGAAAGAAACCGTTTCTCAAAATTGTGTTTAGTTTTTGAAGAATATGTTTTTAAATATGCTCATTTAGTTTTATTAAGTTTTGTGTTAACTTGAAAAATTCATTAAACATGTATTTCTTAGATAATTAATGTGTAATGTCCATATACAGGGTGATTCACATAAGAACCGACACAGAGCAGGGACATGTAGAGGACAATAAATTAAGATGATTTAACGCAACTTATCTCTATACTAAGTTGTACCCCTGAGGAGTTATAGGCCTTCAAAGTTGCGTCTTAAATTTTTAAAATATTGAATATCTTCGTAATACATTAAGCTAGAAAAACCAAATTTGGTATACGTTATGAGTGTACCGAGGGTATTAATTGGTAGCAAGTTGAGACCAATTGAGGCATTCCAAAGGGTTGATTAAGGGTGATGGTCCCCTAAATTGTGACAGATTTTTTTAACCTTTTGGTGAATTTAATGCATTATTACCTCATTTCATGTGGAATTTAATTCTAAAGCTTTTCTTATCTTATTGTTTTTTAAAAAACTTTGTTGTTTTCATAAAAAACTTAAATAACTAAAGACACTTATTTCGTAATTTTACTTAAAATAAGCGAAAATACAGTAGTCGGCTCTGAAATTGTACGTCAAACTTGACAAATAGGTTATAAAGTTATTTGACAACAAGGTGACACCTAGACTCCAGGGAACATATAGTTCTATATCGATACCAAAACTTTTTTTTCATCTGTTAAAACCTATCCTGGGGCAGACATAGCGTTGGACCACACTACCGTAGTTGGTACACTGAAACTAAAAAGGACACATTAACCAGGAAACAAAATCAAATACGATATGCGAAAACTGAAAGATCCGAGAACACGAAGGCAGAAGTAAGACACTACTTGGCAGAACACACACAAGGTGATAGGGCGGCGGAGATGTTGGTTCGGAACTTGAAAAAGTAAAACATGTAGTTAATCACAAAAAATTGTTAAGACTACACCAAAACATGAATCGAAAAACATGGATGACAGAAAGATACACAAAGTATTGGGAAATCCACAGGTAAATACAAAGAAAGATCAAGGAAACTAAAATGAAGGGAATACTAGAGGAAGGAGAGGCTCTAAAAATAGGATCAGCCTAATTTTAGGGCCTCAAAACCCAAAACAACATGTAAGTTGATCGGCAATCACGGAAAAGTAACCATAGAGAAACAAGATAAAACAAAGACAGTGGCTACCTA